TGTGCATTTCTACCCGCTTGCAGGGCGGATAAGAAACTTGCAGTGGATTGCACGGCCAGAGGGGCAGTGTTTGTGGTGGCCGAAGCGGATTGTAAACTCGAAGATTTAGGTGATATTACGAAGCCTCATAATGGGATGCTTTGTCAGCTTGTTTATGATATTCCTGTTGCTGAAAATATACTGGAAATTCCTCCCATGGTGGCTCAAGTAAGTTGCTTTCTTGAAAATTCCTCCCAGCTAGAATCACGCGATTGTCGAAATAACTCTCTCTACTTTAGGACAGAGGCGATCAGACGAACTTAGAGGGAGCCGGGATTTGCAACCGCCCGCAACATTTTTAAATTCTATGTAGAAATTTTGAATTTTTATAACATAACACATATTTTTGCCCCTTAACGTTTTTTTGTCACCGCTTAAAATCCTAACTCCACCACTGCTTTGGGCCATTCATTTTGTCCCTATTTGGTAGAGATTAAAATCAGATTTTTAGTAAATTTTGATAGAAATTGATGAAACGTGTGGTTAAAAAGTTGTGGGTCCCAAAAAATTTGTCGTTAAAATTAATTGTTGACTTTGACCTAAGATTTTAATTCAAACCAAAGAGGGGCTTAGTATGGAGCGGGTTCTCATATGGTTTCATTTCATTAGTATAGTGTACCAGAGTCCCCTTTATTTTTCTTTAATCTTATCCTTATTGCCATGATGGTTTTTTCAGGTAACGAAGTTCAAATGCGGAGGTTTTGTGATAGGGATGTGCATGAACCATTGTATACTTGATGGAATTGGTGTAATGGATTTTTTTAATTCTTGGGCTGAAACTGCTAGGAATTTGCCAGTTAAAGTACTTCCATTTCTTGACAGAACTATTCTCAGAGCAATAAATCCACCCCAGATCAGTAGCGGATCCATAAAAAGCTTCACAACTTTACAAACAAGAAATCATTTGCAAATCCTTTCATTTTGACCCCGAAAAGCTTGAGAATCTCAGAAAGAAAGCCTTGGAGGATCTCAGATGGATTATGAAATAGCTAATTTTATATGCTAAAATGCTAAATGTACTTGTAATTGAGTTATAAAATGTTTGCCCGTATGGATAATAGAACAAAAGCTTAATTAGACAATCTTGCAGGCCTCATACACTGCCTACGATGCAAACTTTGCTTCAGCAGCCATTTTGAGTAGTTTCAAGCAAGGCTTATCTTTCCTAAGATTGAATTGTCTTGTCAACTTCAAATAGCTTTAGAGTCTATCTGGTACATATTTTACATCCTTTCAAAAAATAGGTGAACGTGGTTAACTTGGTTTTACGTTTGTGGGGGATAGGAAGGTGACCTGTGAAATCTCTATCAACAAGAAATTATTGGTTGACGTTGAAGTGATAAGTGTGAGGCCACAATATTGATGGGAAGTCATACTGTATCTTATTTGAATAAATTTGATGATTCTATTGGGGACAGAATCCACAAGATCTGACAGAATCTACATCGGACCTCTGTCGGTGTCAGGCCCTGCTTATGGCATCGCTCTGTATGTGTTGCATTTGCTGATGTTTACCTGTTCGCTATTTTGTTCTATGATTGTCCTCACTTGGTTGGCCCTTGTTTGCATGTATGCAACATAAATTCTACCCTTTTCTTTGTAGTTTAAGCAGAAGAAGGATCACGATACACGGATAATCATGTATAATCTGTGGGAGGATGACCAGGGTCTATTGGAACTTGATTTTGACACCAATCCACATGTATATATCTGCTTCCTATTTGTGGATTTTCGTCATTTTTCTTCTGATACTTGTTTCGGAAATGATCATTCCATTTGTTATGGTTTTGTTCCCTGCAGGATATCCAAATCCGAGGCGTCAATAGAGATGACAAAAACATAAAAATGGCACAGCTGT